ATATTAGGATTTTGGAAATTGTTTGCGGGCCATCAAAATTCCAGATGTCGGCAATTAAGTTAATTAATTAATATTAACTTTCATTAAGTTGCTGCCAAACAAAAGTTAATGTGAAATATTTGAAGTGCCACTTTGGAAACCTGGAAATTTGTTGCGGGCCATCAAAGTGGCAGAAATCGGGAAAAAACCAATGAACAAAAATGATTAATATTAGATAAAATATTCGTTTTGTATTTCTTATAGGGACACTGCCCGATATTAATTGTAGACGTCGCTTGCACCACAGTCCCTAGACCTAGTGAGGCGACCGGGCACGTCTCTTTTAGGAATTAATGTATTATATACTCAATCAAGTCGACCGATTCACTAAAGTTTTATGTTTTGTAAACTGGAAATTTCTAAGAAAAAATAGGAAATTGAAGAGAGATTGTGTGAACTATGAAGTAACAAAATATTGTACAGCCGCAAAACATGTGGTTTACACGCAGAAGAATATACAAAAAGTAAGTTGAAATCAAAATTTAATTTATTATTTATTCCATACAAATAAAATATATTTAAACATATTAAATCCATAAGGGTGTATATACTATACTGAATTCAACAATGTATGACTTAAATATTATTGTAGTTCTAGGCTTCTAGCTGATAGTACTTATTTGGGGGTTCTGATTACATTTTTACAAGGAGATGAAAGCGCGAATTTCTATCTCACACGTTCAAAAATTATCGTGTACACATATTGTGTGTGAATTGTTTTTTCCTGTCATCCATTCGCAGCAAATACGATCTAAAAATATGCATTGCCGTTTTCCAACTTCTGGAGAGCCCATGGGTCCAGGAGTGCGTAGAACTTAAATTAATAAAATATATAAAACTTATAAAAAGATTTTGTAGTGTCATCTCCACAGCAAAAAAAAATATAATATAAAATGCTTGTATGTATTAGTATTAATGTAGTAATATATTTATTTTAAAAGAAAGTAACTACAAATAAATTTGTATTTAAATACAATTTTAAAAGTATCTTTTACAAGACTACCGAAGCAAATAGCAATGTATACAAATCCTATTTGATAATTTACTTTATAGTTATAAAAAATTACGTATCTAATGACATAATATTATAACTAGGTACCTTCTCTAAATATTTTTAATATCAATATTTTTATTTGTAATTCTGTTGTTTATTTTAGGTTATATCTTAATAATTCAGTCACTCAACATATTTTACTTTTACAACAACCATTAATCATTATGTATATACATTTTTATGTTTCACATTATAATTAGGCTAGCCCATTTAATTCGTCATAAGAAATTGATAAATAAATCTTCTCTACACCATGTGAATGTTATACCATAAATTAAATTGGTACAAGTATAGTTTGTTACATTCATATTAAAGTACGAAATATGTGTGTGACTTGATGAGTGTAGTTTCATATTTTATTTTTATTTTATTCTTAAAAATGTCAAAAAATTGACTACAAAGTCGAAGGTTCCTCAATCTTCGATAAGTTCTTATCATAAATATTCGATAAAATTAAAAAAAAAACGAGCACAACTTTTTTTTATAAAGGCACTTTACTTCAAATTTTCACAAAATATTGTAATTTGCAATATTGCAGTTAAAACGTTAAATTTTTATAGGTAAGGAATTTAAAATTTAAAACAAACTTAAGTTCCTCGTGCGTTGATAATACTGTAACCAAAAAATTTAAAAATAAATTTTTTTTATAGACATCTTAAAATTTGGATGAAATTAGATACTTAAACTTAGAATAACGATGATAATTATAATGTTGTAATTAAAAAAACTTTATAAATTATTATATATGATTATAAATTTAACAAAATTTACTATATTTACAAATTTTATTCTCATTGGAAAGAGTATAAATATACACTATTATTTACCCATTTCTACTATGTGAACCTATGGTAGGTAAGGTATAAATTATGTGCAAATATTTCAACAGAACCTACCGTATTTCAATTGAAGAGAGTAGTCATATCTTCATTTAATAATGAAGGCATGGAATCATATTAATAACTTCAATGTTACATAGCATAGAGTCTGAGATGCTTCGTGGTATAAACAGTCTACGATTTACATTGGTAATTCTAATCTTATTTCACATCAAAAAAAGTTCATCTCTAAATATTAAAGATTAATATATTACACGTAAAAAATTATTTCTTATTAATTTCTACTTGTCGTATCTAACATATAAAAATCTTGTGTCATTATCACAGTATAAAATGTATGTCGCCAAACTCCTCTGAAACGGCTCGACCGATTTTCATGAAATTTTGTGTGTATATTCAGTAGATCTGAGAGAGTGAAGTTTACTATTTTTCATACCCCTAAATGAAAAGGGTGGCTCAAATATTTTTTGAAATTTAACGTGTAAATTGTATACCTATGTAGTATATATAGGGGTGGCGGTCCGCGGGTTTCCATAACAACAAATTATGACATCGATAATATAAAATTGTTATAATTAATTATTTTTTTGAATTGTTCCGAATTATTCCGCATACACTAACACTATATGTATACACTATGTACACTGTGTTCTATTTGTGTGTTTTTTACAGTGAACAAAGCCAGCAAGACGCAAAGGGTCTGATTTGGGCCGTCGAACGACTAAAACTGCAGCCTAGCAAGATAGAAGAGCACAAAGAACAGACGAACATATCCAGCAGGATAGTGAAAATATGAGTATGAACGTGGTGCAATTGAGTGAGGCACAAGCTGAACAAAATCAAAATAGACGATTATAGAAGTGCGTCAATTCGTAGTTGACACACGCAGAGCAAATGACCGACAACGCCAACAAGTACATCGAGCATTTACATCCAATTCATTCCATCGTCTAGCATTCAAGTATGGGTCAGATATTAAATATTTAAATATTACGCCCGTTCGAAAGTGAAGACTGGTGCTATGGACAAGGAATGTAAGCATTGTAATGCTCTTAAATTCAACAATGAGGCAGCCGGAATGTGTTGCACGTCAGGAAAAGCGCAACTACCAGAAATTGAAACACCACCCGACCAAACCATTGAATGGTTTACTTGGTACAGATTCAGATTCTAATCTGTTCCTGAAGTTCAATTTCCAATTTTATTGGCATTCGCAATGACAATCAATAAGTCTCAAGACCAAACGACATCTTTTTTGGTTTAGATTTGGGCATCCCGTGTTTCACATTTACGTAGGTACATTATACGTGGCGAGTTCTCGAGTGGAAAAACCATCCAGTTTGTTTGTGTTGGCTAAAATTGGACTCACTAAAGATATCGTACACTCCGTTGCACTAAGAGACTGATAATGTTTTTTATTTTTAATTTTCATTATTTGTGATACAGATGTAATTTGAAATTTAATTGTAAAGATGATAAAAGTACAATGAATTCAAAATTTGAATGTTTTTGTGTTTTGTTATTATTATAGGCCGCCTTCGTTCCCAACGCTGCATTTCTCTTTCGGTCATTTACCACATCTCCACCCACCTACAATAACTTAGTTATTTTTTATTTACCTACCGAAATATTCACAAGATATATTTTATATTGCAAAACAGTTTGTAAAACAGTATTGACACTGCAGGCGAAAAACTTATGCCGCCACGTTAGCCGATCTCCTGAGTTTTCTGATTTTTTTTTTCCGATTTCTAAGACATCAAACAAATTTCGGGACGGTTCGAGTGCCCTGCATCCAGTTACTGGCCGTTCTGCATCCTCTTGTCCGAGTATAACCTTGCCGCCCTGGTTATGCACAACATCGAAGATGACACAACGACGACAGCGACGAAGGGCTCTCAATATTATCGGGAAAATAATCACGCCACTGTCGACCGTCACGTTATCAAAAATGTTCGAAATGTAGATTCGTAGTGCGAAATTCGTAGTAGATCGATAACCGATGATAAAAAAACGCTAGTCGTCGTCGTACTGGGTAATAAATAAACACATTAATATATTTTATTTGTTTTATTTTTAAACATTATTAAAACTCCAAGTATCCATGGATATTGCCGTCGCGTCGCTGATTTGTCTTCGTAGGCATTTATACCTTGTACCAGTTATACCACCGATAAATTAAAATAATAAAATACCTTAGATTTAGATACCTAGTCGATTCTCAATATTATCATCCGTTATTGTAATTGTATATTTTGTATTAAAAAATAGCAAAGTAAAATTCAGTGGATACGCACCTTTAGGTATTTTCAGTGAGTTTCTAGGGGCGTTATCGTCGCCCAGCATTTATGACAATTTCAGGCTGCACGCTGCGAACACAAGAGCGGCAGGCGCCACTTCCCTCCCAAAAATGTTTACAACTTTTACACCAAGGTTTATAGACAGATAAATAACTAAATCAAAGTTTATAGATATCTTTCAAGTCATAACTATTAACTTATTATCCATTTAAGTAAATAACTATGATATAAAAAAAGTTTAGGTTAGTTAGGATGGTATGGATTAGGAATATGAGAATGTAATACTTTTTTGTAGAGATGAAAATATATTTTGGATATGAAGGGGATGTTGGAGAAAAAGCGAAAATAGGTGAGCGGTAGTAAGTGGTAAAAATTTAGGGCAGACGGAACTACGGAAGTTAATAAGATGGGAAATGTTACAAATCGTAGAACTTTTTGGGAATGTATAGCCGTATAATAGTTGTGGGGGCCATTCAATGATAGTTTAAAGGAATAAGAGGGAAGAAAGGTGTATTTCATGAGCCAGAATACCGAACTGCCGATTAGAACATATTTATGAAATTCAAAACCAGATAATCTGTCAATATTCAATACTTAATTAATCAATATTTATTTTTTACAATATTATTATTAGATCGTCAAGTACGTAATGAAATTCTGGATAGACATTATTTCAAAAACTGCAATGTTGCCAGCACTGTTTTGTATGTTTTTGTACAATATTAACTGATAATAGATACCGTGTTGTATAATTCGTCTGCTATACAAAATAATGATTACAGTCAACTGACATTAAAATTAATGATAACGATTGTCGGCTTTTTCTCAAACTGTTTTTAATAGTATTTGTATTTTTGTATTTAGTACTTACTATTTAATACTAATTGAATTCAGGTAGTAAATTACTAAAATAAATTTATTGTTTTAAATCGAATTTATTGGATATTTCATTCTTATCTTTTATCTTTCTAAAACGGGTAAAAACTGTTCGCTTAATATTTCCATATTATTTTACGAAAACCGTGTTTTATAAGTATATTATTGTTATTTTCTTTAGAATCTTATCCACAAAATGAGTCGCAAAGAAGCATTAACACAATTTATACAACAAATTCACGGTCGTCCAGTTGTTGTGAAATTGAATAGTGGAGTTGATTACAGAGGTAATTTTTTCACAACTCAATAATTAATTTTTTTTTTTATATCAGTATCCACATCTTCACTTTATACTAACATTTCCTCGAACATTTTGGATCCTTTGCTGGATCAATCTTAAGAGTTTGGTAGACACTGCCTTACTGCCATACAGCCATACAGGGGCGGCTTGCAATAAGAATACTAAAAGTCCCCGAAAACCCTGCCCCGATAATTGTGAAACAAAATGTTTTAAGTTTATTTTCAAGTAAAAAATAAGTGTATCTATATCATAAATTGTAAAATTTAATGAAAAATTTATCTAAAGAAGAACCTAAAAATATTACATTGGTCCTAGTAAATGTAGTTGGTGGGTGGGTTATTTATAAACTTGCTCCTTGAGTTATAAAGACTCAAGCCGCCATTGCTGCCATAACTATTTGGTGACTATTATACCGCATTCAAATTACAATATCGCCACAGCAACGATACTGTTACATTTAAACTATTTTATACTGCAATAGGTCCTAAACATTAGTATTCAAATGATGATGCGGGGTGTTGATATAAGTATACAACTAATAAGTGTTAAAAATATATGTGTTTAATTTCAATTCATAGTTTTATAAACTATTTAGATCATAGGTAATAAGCAATTTATTGTGTTTATGCCAGTGGCTGAGTGGCACCAAACTCTATATTTGCTTATGGAAAATACCACAGTAGATTTCTTAATTTTGGAAAGTTTAGTGTCTAAATGAATTGCAGTATTGCACCATATGAGTGCTTAAAATACCTCTTAATGTTAAAACATGTGGGTACCTATGATAATATAGAAATCATAAAACTCATGTTGGATATAGTATTTACCCACGTTTATAGATGGGTGAATGTAAATTGTTTTTAATTGTTGTATTTGTTTTTAAAGACTAGTACAAATTGATAACGAGTACATATTTTTATATTTATTTATTTTTTAATTACATTTATTAGGTGTAATGGCTTGCATTGATGGTTACATGAATATTGCCCTCGAACAAACAGAAGAATACATAAATGGAGAACTTAAAAATAAATTTGGGGACTCTTTTATTCGTGGCAACAATGTACTATATATTAGTACACAAAAAAGAAAAGGGGTATAATATATTTTATAAATAATGATATTTATATTCTCAATTTCTATGCTTGTGAAAAATAAAATTAAACATAAAAATATTTATAAGCGTTTGTAATAAATATTAAGTAATCATAATAATTTGATGTTGCTTCATTTTCAATAAGTACCTTATCCAAATATTGTGCTCATTTTCAGATTATAATGTTTGGTTGCATAAGTATAATGTGATATATTGTACCTAATAATATGTACTTGTGACCTATACTATAGCTTTGATTATGTATAGCATGTGTAAATTATCAATGGTAATAGATAGGTACTGTATAGGTTTGTTATATTATATTTAAAAAAATGTTTTCAATACTATTCTGGTATTAGATGGTTTCAAATTACAATGATAAAAAGTAATCACAGATGTAGGTATCTATAATTTTGTTTTTATTTTAATATTAATTGTTACATTTTTTTAACTATTCAATGAAGTAGGAAGTGTGCACAATTGCATACATGCCAACTGCCCAGGTTTTTAATTTGTTTTGATTATAATAATATGACAAAATATAATTTATATGATATTTATTTCTATGTCCTCAATAAATACTAAGAAAACTTCCTAATTCAAATATTTCTTGAAAGTTTTACATAGTATTGTGTAATAAAGTTACTGTATTTAGGCTCTAATGATAGTATACACAACCATATGTTTTTACCATTTTAAACTTTTAAAGATTGAAATGAGTAGGTTTACCATTATTCAGTAGATATTTATCATATTTTATAAGTTGACATCAAATATGTAAATATTTATTGTTAGCGTTGCAATACATATTATTATAGTCTTCATATTTTTTTCATAACATAAAAACACTAAATATAGCAGTATAATTCCATTTACTATATTTAGATATAATGTAATATTTCTTTTCGAATATTAAATTAATGCAAGCTAAAAACCATTGTTCTTGAAGACTTATAATAAATTGTTAAAAAAAAAAATTCTCAAATTTCAAAAAAATATTTTCAAAAGTACCCATAGTACCTAATACCATTAATTTTAAATAGTGGTATTTATAATCAATGGTAACTCTATAAAGTATAAATAATACGAAAATTGTGTGTATTATAATAGGTAGCAGTATAATGCTATGGAGTGACAGTTAACATTATTTTATTCAACAAAACCCTCGTTTTTATAATTTCATAATTAATATTTTTGACATATTTCCCGACTTTAAGTAGTTATATTATAAACAAGACACTAGTAAGGTTCATTTAAATCCACTTTTAAAATATAACTACACCTACCTAGTTCTTTTGTACGAATAACAAACAATTCATTATTGTAATTTAGTTACAAAATGATGCTTGAATAGATTTGTATAACAATACAATAATCTCTGAACAATTAATGAAAAACGGAATTGAATATTGAAAAATTAGTTGCTTTATCATATTAAATTAATGTTTAATTGAGTTCAACTGTAAAAAAGTAAAACTTATTAAATATTCGCTGTGCAAGAAAAAAGGAAATCAACCAGCCATTGTTTTAATTTATCAGAATTGCTTTTTTCAAACAACGAATGGACGAAAAAATAAGAACAATCAAATATTTTTTAAACGTCGATACTGACAATAAAGGAGTATTACACTCTTTATTTTGAGTTAGTGGATGCTGATTATTACCTAAACGATTTTTATTGTCGGTAGAAAATTGTCGTACTCCACACATCTTGCATTGTGGAAATAAAGGGTAGGTACTTGCCCTTACCCTATGTATAAATATATATATAATACTTTTTATAAGTTTAAAACCCTATAAAACCATCTATTGATAGCTATTGATGTGTGAAATTTCTACCAAGTCCCTACAGGCTTCCTACGTGTGTGCCATTTTCCCGAATCACGACTATAGCGCTGTATATAATTTCAGTGATGCGTCAATACATGTTCTCACATTATTAGCTCAAATAGTTTAATACGGGGTGATTTTTTTAAAAGTAAACACTCATTTTTCCAAAAAGTTTTAGTTTTTATAAATTAAGTATTTAAGTAAGTAAATTTCAATCCACTTCAAACTCGAAAATGTAGGTTCTGGTGCAACTGCTAGAACAGAAAGTGTCCAAAAATAAATACACAATATTAAAAAAAAAAAAATTTTGAATCGAATATAAATCCTTGTTGTAGAGCAAATGGCATCCAGTCTTCAAATTCAAATTTTTTTTCTATATTTCCAACTCTGTTGATATTGCATTCCTGTTAATCTCTAATGAGTAAAACTTAATACTTAAGTACCTACCTACTTATTGTATTGGTAGGTTGTTAAAAAATTGTAAAATATTTTATGCACTAAAAATAATTAACTGCAGGAAAAAATATTTAAAATGGTAATGATTTACTCACATTACACAAATTTATGTATTCTTGAATTTGTAGAGGAGAATGTAAACTGCGAGTACCGTATACTTTATTTAGGAAGCCAGGTAGGTACCCACGATCATAGTGTGATGTAGTGCATTACCGTAGTGTTGAGAAGTTGTCACTACTCATCACTTACTCTTATGGTATTTTTTTATGCGGTGCCGATACTACCGAATTTTACAGTGTATATAGGTTTGGAAAATCCAAGTAAAAGTGAAGCCAAAGTATATTGTATATAGTACCAGCGTGGCCAAAATTAAATCTTTCTATATAGAGCTTAATAACTTATAGAAGCGTTTTAGGGAATTTAATTTTTAAACATACTAGTAAAATAGTCGAGTGACCAAATTGTTGTATTATTGAGAATGCATAATTATTATACATAGTGATCATTTACATCGCTATTCTCTTCGTGTTAGGCACCTACATAAAATATAAAACCTATGTAGAAGATAAATATTGAGTACCTATTATGCTATTGTCGCTTAGAGCATTACTGTAGCGTTTGCTGTTATTAATCATACAGGTAGGTGTTATTATATTCTCATGACCAACAACAGTAGGAACCTATAATTTATTAAATTAAATAGGATGCGTATTATAATTCTTCATATAAATATTATTATAGTAGTTTAGTACCTATACCTACATGGCTATACGAGATACTGCTTTGATAAAGTAGCACCGATGGACATATTATACACAATATACCTACCCACTATTACATAAATTATATTAAAATAACTCGAGTTTACTACACGTCGTAGGTATGTGTATGTATACTTCCATTGCAGATTTTGAGAATTAAAAGAGCTTTTTGTACAAAACGGATTCGAAGAATGAAAAAAGTCTAAACGACCGCCGCCGGTTGTTATAATAATGTTTTTCTCTTTTTTCTCCGATCGCGGAATCGAACAATAATACGAATACATAATAATATAGCTCATTGTGCTTACGCGCGTGCGTGTGATGGCGTTCGCGGAAGACAGCTATTATTGTACAGCGGGCGAGACCAGCGCGTGCCTATATATATTTTATTTGATTGGCGTGGTGGAGGGTGGCGTATCGAGTATCCATCAGTTGCAGCAGTGACAATTTGCAGCAGACGAATGGCGCGCGTACTGACTTTTGCTAATTATTATCCGAAGACGGTGGCGGCGGCGGTGTGCCCGGTCGGATATATGCGCCGCACGCTGAGCGGTTCATTCGATAATATTATATTCCCTTCATTAGCTCATCACGGGCAATATCCGTTCTCTGGCGCAGCGGTTTATTTAATCGCTGTGTGCGGGTGTGTGTGGGTGTGTGTGTGTGTGAGAGAGCGGTGGAGCCATATTTCTAAGGGGGGCGAGAGGGCGAAAGAGGAGACCCGCAGAGGCGGTCTTTCAGCCGCAGACATGTCATTTGCCGTGGAGACTCCTGCTCTGCTCGACGATTGCAATTATTATTGTATGCGGCACAAAAGAGTCTCGCCGGTCATCACGGTGGTCGAGGACGATGAGGAGAGTGGCTTCTGCAGTATCGCGCATAACATTATATATATACACTATATACATCTGCAGTCCATTATTATAATATATATTATTTGATATTATTATTATGTAAACTGTTGTTTTAAACGTCTCCGTCACAGTCGAAAACTCGTCCAGCGAACTTCTATACATATAAGAAAAAACAATGAATGGTCCTGCTACTGCTGTTGCGCCATGCTCTATTATCCATGGTTTGAGATAAATATTATATTTATTTGTTTATTCATTCACTCTTATAGGATATGCGGACTCGAACCACAAAAAACATTTAATTGTAGTACTCATAATAGTACCTAACCTAGTAGCTATAATATTTTGCATTATGCATGTATTTATTTTTTTACCTATATAGGCTGAGGTAACCGTGATTAAAACATCGCCAATAAAAAATTCCAAAGGAGGTTGATCCTCCACCTATGTCCCTCTCAGAGTCTCAGCTATACGAAACAAGATATTACCAATCCAATCCACCTAAGGTGGATTGGGCCATTAGTCTGCAGAATTATTACTCATTTCGTTTAATTTTGAAGAAAACGTGTTATATTTCAACAGTATTGGACATTATTTAAAATAATCAACCATATATTCCAAAAACATAAATAAAAATGTTGACTCTTCTTGACTAAATTACTATATAAATCTGCACTAAGCTGAAAACAATTTTACTAAAACAAATCTAAATAAAATAGTTTTTTAAAATATTATAAAATTCTAATTTCTCTAATTTTTTAATTCTAATAGTCTTTTGATTCAAATTTAAATACTCAAAACCCAAAAAATATGAGAAAATATACAGAGGTTCTTGTATTACATTTCACAGTCTCTTGGATATGGATGAGAATATGAGATGTGTGAAGACGTGCCACAGTATTTGAATTTCAAATTCGTACATTCAGTTTTCGAGGTAATTTATTTTCCTAGAATATTATTATACTAACATTATAATAACGACCTAAAATACATACATATTTTATTGATTTTAAGATTTTCAACTGCAACGTGTTTTAAGTTATTGTTATGCATAGTAATATAATATTTTTTTAAAGTTTGGTATTCTTGTCATTGTATATTATATCATGACTACTATTATCTGAAAAGGATTCGTAAACCATAAAATCGATGAATTTTGTCAAAATTTAAATTCAAGAGCTTGTAAAAAAAATAGTGCTAATGTATCTTTAATAT